CCCACTATTTGTCCAATAACCCACTATTTTCAAATGTACTAACCCCAGCCTCCATGCAATAAGCTGCAAATGGACAGAATCCCACCTGCAACCTATCCCACTGTCCAAGAACCCACTATTTGTCCAATAACCCACTATTTTTCAAATGTACTAACCTCAGCCTCCATGCAATAAGCTGCAAATGGACAGAATCCCACTTGCAATCTATCCCACTGTCCAAGAACCCACTATTTGTCCAATAACCAACTGTCCAAGAACCCACTTTTTGTCCAATAACCCACTATTTTCAAATGTACTAACCCCAGCCTCCATGCAATAAGCTGCAAATGGACAGAATCCCACCTGCAACCTATCCCACTGTCCAAGAACCCACTATTTGTCCAATAACCCACTATTTTCAAATGTACTAACCCCAGCCTCCATGCAATAAGCTGCAAATGGACAGAATCCCACCTGCAATCTATCCCATTGTCCAAGAACCCACTATTTGTCCAATAACCAACTGTCCAAGAACCCACTTTTTGTCCAATAACCAACTTTCCAAGAACCCACTATTTGTCCAATAACACACTATTTTCAAATGTACTAACCCCAGCCTCCATGCAATAAGCTGCAAATGGACAGAATCCCACCTGCAATCTATCCCACTGTCCAAGAACCCACTGTCCAAGAACCCACTATTTGTCCAATAACCCACTATTTTCAAATGTACTAACCCCAGCCTCCATGCAATAAGCTGCAAATGGACAGAATCCCACCTGCATCCTATCCCACTGTCCAAGAACCCACTATTTGTCCAATAACCAACTGTCCAAGAACCCACTATTTTCAAATGTACTAACCCCAGCCTCCATGAAATAAGCTGCAAATGGACAGAATCCCACCTGCAACCTATCCCACTGTCCAAGAACCCACTATTTGTCCAATAACCCACTATTTTTCAAATGTACTAACCCCAGCCTCCATACAATAAGCTGCAAATGGACAGAATCCCACCTGCAATCTATCCCACTGTCCAAGAACCCACTATTTGTCCAATAACCAACTGTCCAAGAACCCACTTTTTGTCCAATAACCCACTATTTTCAAATGTACTAACCCCAGCCTCCATGCAATAAGCTGCAAATGGACAGAATCCCACCTGTAACCTATCCCACTGTCCAAGAACCCACTATTTGTCCAATAACCCACTATTTTTCAAATGTACTAACCCCAGCCTCCATACAATAAGCTGCAAATGGACAGAATCCCACCTGCAATCTATCCCACTGTCCAAAAACCCACTATTTGTCCAATAACCAACTGTCCAAGAACCCACTTTTTGTCCAATAACCAACTTTCCAAGAACCCACTATTTGTCCAATAACCCACTATTTTCAAATGTACTAACCCCAGCCTCCATGCAATAAGCTGCAAATGGACAGAATCCCACCTGCAATCTATCCCACTGTCCAAGAACCCACTATTTGTCCAATAACCAACTGTCCAAGAACCCACTTTTTGTCCAATAACCCACTTTTTTCAAATGTACTAACCCCAGCCTCCATGCAATAAGCTGCAAATGGACAGAATCCCACCTGCAACCTATCCCACTGTCCAAGAACCCACTATTTCTCCAATAACCCACTATTTTTCAAATGTACTAACCTCAGCCTCCATGCAATAAGCTGAAAATGGACAGAATCCCACCTGCAACCTATCCCACTGTCAAAGAACCCACTATTTATCCAATAACCAACTGTCCAAGAACCCACTATTTGTCCAATAACCCACTATTTTCAAATGTACTAACCCCAGCCTCCATGCAATAAGCTGCAAATGGACAGAATCCCACCTGCAATTTATCCCATTGTCCAAGAACCCACTATTTGTCCAATAACCAACTGTCCAAGAACCCACTTTTTGTCCAATAACCCACTTTTTTCAAATGTACTAACCCCAGCCTCCATGCAATAAGCTGCAAATGGACAGAATCCCACCTGCAACCTATCCCACTGTCCAAGAACCCACTATTTCTCCAATAACCCACTATTTTTCAAATGTACTAACCTCAGCCTCCATGCAATAAGCTGAAAATGGACAGAATCCCACCTGCAACCTATCCCACTGTCAAAGAACCCACTATTTATCCAATAACCAACTGTCCAAGAACCCACTATTTGTCCAATAACCCACTATTTTCAAATGTACTAACCCCAGCCTCCATGCAATAAGCTGCAAATGGACAGAATCCCACCTGCAATTTATCCCATTGTCCAAGAACCCACTATTTGTCCAATAACCAACTGTCCAAGAACCCACTTTTTGTCCAATAACCAACTGTCCAAGAACCCACTATTTGTCCAATAACCCACTATTTTCAAATGTACTAACCCCAGCCTCCATGCAATAAGCTGCAAATGGACAGAATCCCACCTGCAATCTATCCCACTGTCCAAGAACCCACTATTTGTCCAATAACCAACTGTCCAAGAACCCACTATTTTCAAATGTACTAACCCCAGCCTCCATGAAATAAGCTGCAAATTGACAGAATCCCACCTGCAACCTATCCCACTGTCCAAGAACCCACTATTTGTCCAATAACCCACTATTTTTCATATGTACTAACCCCAGCCTCCATACAATGAGCTGCAAATGGACAGAATCCCACCTGCAATCTATCCCACTGTCCAAGAACTCACTATTTGTCCAATAACCAACTGTTCAAGAACCCACTATTTGTCCAATAACCCACTATTTTCAAATGTACTAACCCCAGCCTCCATGCAATAAGCTGCAAATGGACAGAATCCCACCTGCAATCTATCCCACTGTCCAAGAACCCACTATTTGTCCAATAACCAACTGTCCAAGAACCCACTTTTTGTCCAATAACCCACTATTTTCAAATGTACTAACCCCAGCCTCCATGCAATAAGCTGCAAATGGACAGAATCCCACCTGTAACCTATCCCACTGTCCAAGAACCCACTATTTGTCCAATAACCCACTATTTTTCAAATGTACTAACCCCAGCCTCCATACAATAAGCTGCAAATGGACAGAATCCCACCTGCAATCTATCCCACTGTCCAAAAACCCACTATTTGTCCAATAACCAACTGTCCAAGAACCCACTTTTTGTCCAATAACCAACTGTCCAAGAACCCACTATTTGTCCAATAACCCACTATTTTCAAATGTACTAACCCCAGCCTCCATGCAATAAGCTGCAAATGGACAGAATCCCACCTGCAATCTATCCCACTGTCCAAGAACCCACTATTTGTCCAATAACCAACTTTCCAAGAACCCACTTTTTTTCAATAACCCACTATTTTCAAATGTACTAACCCCAGCCTCCATGCAATAAGCTGCAAATGGACAGAATCCCACCTGTAACCTATCCCACTGTCCAAGAACCCACTATTTGTCCAATAACCCACTATTTTTCAAATGTACTAACCCCAGCCTCCATACAATAAGCTGCAAATGGACAGAATCCCACCTGCAATCTATCCCACTGTCCAAAAACCCACTATTTGTCCAATAACCAACTGTCCAAGAACCCACTTTTTGTCCAATAACCCACTATTTTCAAATGTACTAACCCCAGCCTCCATGCAATAAGCTGCAAATGGACAGAATCCCACCTGCAATCTATCCCATTGTCCAAGAACCCACTATTTGTCCAATAACCAACTATTTTTCAAATGTACTAACCCCAGCCTCCATGCAATAAGCTGCAAATGGACAGAATCCCACACTGCATGAAAAGTGGGATTTTCGTCCCCGTAAACTGTCGGAAATCTCCCTAATTTTCGGCAGTTAACGACAATTTACAGATTGTGAACGTCGCGTTCCACTGTGCCACATATTGACGGAAACGAACCATGACGTATGCATGGAGCGCTCGCGGAGGTGTGAATGGCCCTAATTAGCATATGAATAGCAGCACTGCGCGCGCCTTGCCAGAGAATGGCTTGAATTTCCTCACTCAGTATTGGTTGAAATTCACTACATTTAAACAAGATAATCACTCGTGATTGGTTGGCAGATCTGTTATTATTGGTCAGCTTACATAAAATTATAATAATAATTATTTATTTATATATATTCATATGATATGCTATTATGTTGTATATTCATGTCATTGTTATCCTATGGACTAAACTATTATTACCATCAAGGACATGAATTTATTGAGGAAAGGAACATATGCCAGATACTGTTTATTCAAAGAAATAGCTTTATTAGAACAAACACACAATGTACAATGCATAGGAGAACATCTTCAAAGCACAGAAAACATGTCCTCCACCCTCTGGAAACATGGGATAACATACATACAGCACTACAGTTATACAAATAAATCAATAATATATTGCATCTTTATTCAAAAATAAATTGCCCTGAATGGCATCAGAACTGGGCACCAGATATATCAAACACAATGTACAGTGGAGGCAGAATTGTGAACAAATAATAAGGATGTAATTTATAGGGATAGTTAAGTTTGAAATTAATTGTTGATATGTTTTATCTTACCTCAAGGGCATCCAAGATGTAGGTGTCTTTGTTTCCACAATATTTTCAATTTTGATATTTTTAGGTCAAACCGTTCTTGTCTGTCAGTCATATAATGGAGGTCTATGGTCACCACCTCAAAGAGCATGCACAGAGAAGTCCAAATTAAACATGATTTAATGACTCATAAATTAAGTACACATTGATGGCCTAAGACACGAAACGAGCGATTTGTGAGAGAAAACAAACAGTTTATATATATATATATATACATACACACACTGTTCATTTTCTCACACAAACCGCTCGTTTCGTATCTTAAGCCATCAATGTGTACTTACAGTTACGAGTCATTAAATCATGTTTAATCTGGATTTCTCTGTGCATGCTCTTTTAAGAGATCCCCATAGATTTCCATTATATGACTGACAGACAAGAATGGTTTGACGTAAAAATATAAAAATTGAAACTACTGTGGAAACAAAGACACCTACATCTTGGATGCCCTTGAGGTAAGCTAAAACATATCAAAAATTAATTTTAAAGTGAACTATCCCTTTAAAACTCTTAATTCAAGTCCTGTAGGCTCATCGGGGCGTAGTGAATCCTCCACCTCCAAGTCTTTGCGACGCGTGCTTGAGGTGCTCACACACGTTCACCTTGATGTACATACACCTCAGTGGCTATGGAACCAAATTTCATGATCCCTTCTGCAAAGTTGAAAAAGACCAATGATTTAGATGTATGCAAAGACAATCTGCCCCAAGTCCCCACATTTGTAAGCAAAAATATGTTTCCTTTGCATCCACTACCTGGTTTCCTTCAGGCGATGGCGGATGTCGACCAGTAGTTTCAGGACATTTTTCTGGAACACTGAAATAAACAAACACATTTGGTGAGGTTTGCAACGCTCTAATTAGAATAGCAAAGTTTGCTAGCTCACAAGAGAGAAGGTGTCTATTAAAAGTGTCTTCTCCACTGCCAATAGATCAATACTTACCAGTCTCAGTCACTGCATCTCCCAGTCTCAGTCACTGCATCTACACCACAAAAAATGTGTTATACAAGTTATTATCAAATGATGAAACTGAACATATTATAAGATGATAAATAATAAATCTGCAATATTGTAACAATTAGAGATATATCTATAAAACTTGGTGAACTGCAAAGTACTTTGATGAAAATTGCGGCCTTAATTGTAAAAAAAATCTAAATTACTTGATTTCTTGTTCAAAGCAATGTGTACACTGTGTAACAGGCATCCAGGGTCATATGACCACCACCTGAATAGCAAAATAATCCTAAATGAGCTTAATGTGAACGCAGCCGACAACTCACCGTGCCGGTCATGTGCTGAGATCACTGCGCTGTACTCTTTTATCATGTCTGGACCTGGGCGGGGGACTGGGGGCATCACTACGGGATCGGTCTTCATGGATTTATTAGTTCCATATGGTTATACCTGAAATTAAAATAATTTTGTAATTATAATACGTTTCCTGTTGTGTTAGTATATGTGCACTGGAAGCCTCAGCACACAAACAAATTCCTTATGTGTGCAAGCACACTAGATAATAAAGCTCTGATTCAGATTCAAAGTAATAGCAGTGATTTGAAGACTGTGTGCCTCGCACGTGACCTGAAGGTGTGCCTTGAACAATCTCTGTGCAGGACCTGATGGTGAATCGAACACTGGACCTAGTAACATTTAAACTTGGCCAAACATTTATGAATATAACATGCCATGTTCCAGTTCTCTTTGGCGTTTTCACCACTGTCTTACTCTCAAAGTCATCCGTAAACACAGACGTTAATACCAAATTAGTTTAGTTTTACTGTTTATTTGACTGGGGCCTGATCAAAAGAAAAGAGGATGAGATCACAACACGTAACGTTACCTTGTTTAGGTGTTTTTTCTCCTATCAGGGAAGGGCACCTCACTCCTTACAGGCACAGCACCTGAGAGACAAAACAAATGCGTTAACAAACATCACAAACAGATGGAGTTAAAGATTTCACTCCATCACACAACAGCGTTGCAGTTTTACAAACAAGGATAGCCTACACTAGAGCATACAAGCACATTACGAACTTTGAGTTTGTATGATCCTGGCACATATAATTTCTGACGATATTCAGAGTAGCACGCATTGGGAAAAGCCCGTTGAACACCCAATACGAGTTAGTTTGATTACTAGCAAAGAAGCTACCTAGCAGCCAGATAACAACGTGCAAAATACAATTTAGTGTCAAGAATTAAGAGCAGCAAGCTAACGCAAAACAAAAAAACTGTGCCGTTAAGGTTAACGCCCTTGAACATTCGCGGCAGTAATCACAGCAGGTTTGTAAAGTTTAAGACAATAACGCTAAACTACCAAACACTAGCATAAGTAGACATGGACATAGAATTCACTAGATTGGACGAACTTACCTTCAATTTAGAGGAGATGGGTTCACCAGTGATCATGACGGCGATGTAGGCTGAATATCTGTGCCGTTATTTTCTGCTTGAAAAACCAACCATGTGAAAAACACGCTGAATCGCGCCGCTCGCGCCACATGGCTCGCATGTTGCCTCGGCCTATCAGAGTGGCTGGCTTTACAGGTTGGGTTATGATGATATGTTGCCTCAGCCAATCAGAGTGACGTTCACTGGATTTCGACTGTGGTTGAAATCAAAGCTCTTGATAGAGTTGTCCGACCTCGGCTGTCCATGACTTTTCTGTTGCTGTTAGTTCTTTTTAAATTAGGAATAAGGTGGATAGACCTAATATAGGCTACCATGAAATGAAAAATACAAATACAGGGTGTGCATAAATAAATAACTTGATTAGGCTACTTAAAATAAATAAACCAGTAAAACCCCCCCCCCCCCCCCCAAAAAAAAAAAAAAAACATCTGGTTATAACTGTGAATTAACATCCAAAGATGTTATCATATAATTTGAAAACTGCTTCTGTAAATATTATGATGAATCCTATAATTTTATTAGGTAAATTTCATATTCATAAGAGTAAAATGAATAATTCTAAACCTTGTTTGAAGTTTTTTTTTTTTTTTGGTCTGATTTTCAGTTGTATATTGAGTCTCTCTATCGATAAAAAATGTAGTGATACAATTCTATTTACTAAAGAATATTGAAGCTAATTGAAAAGTGAATCAATGTGTATGCTATTTTCTTTCTTTAAGTAGTACAAATTACTGGTTTCTAGCTTTCTCTTAAATCATTATATTATACATAATAGATAGTCATTTTCCCCTTTTTATTTTATTTTTTCAATTCTGTCCTATTTTTATTTTTTCTTATTCATTTATAGTGAAATTATTATTTGTTGATTGTTATCTTTTTGGATATCATGCTATTGTTGTAATTGTTGTGCATTATGTGTAATGTAAAAAAAAAAAAAAAAAAAAAAAAAAAAAAACACTGTGAGCCTGATCTATTTCTACCAGAGATTGTCCTAGAATGAGGTATATCTTTCAGAAAAATGTTACCTGGGGTGAAACTCCCCTACCCTTATTTGCATGTGTATAGCTCACAGCATTTTCATTTACATGTCAAAGCCTCCTCTAGATTTAGGAAAAGGGGGGTCATGGGGGGACAACTGGCAAGCAAGGCCTACGTCAATTTCCGGCAATTCACGGCAGTTTTGGGTGTTGCCTGTAAATTGCCGTGTGCAGTCGTAAACCTGAACTTCCACGACAATCTACAGTGCCGCTTACTGACGAAAATCCCACTTTTCATGCAGTGCCACCTGCAATCTTTCCCACTTTCCAAGAACCCACTGTTTGTCCAATAACCCACTGTGCCCCTTTTCAAACTTCCGACTCCCGAACGAGTCCACCAATTAGCATCCCAAAAAACAATTGAAACTGTTCAAACATTTGTTAGAACAAGAACCCAAACTCACAAGTAAAACTTTTAAAACATTTATTGAACACACAAAATGTATTACAAAACAACTGAACTGATTATAAATGAACACAAACTGATTAGAAAAAAAATGATTAAAGAACTGATTTAAAAAAAAACAGAGTAAAATTTAACAATATTTTTTTTTAAACTAAATTTGGTCGGCTTCCTTGTCCTCTTTTGGGTCCTGTGGATCGCCGTCCTAAGCAGCTTCTGGGCCACTTTGTGAGGAGACTATAGGCGACAGGCGGACCACAGGACGCCGTCTTCTCTTCGCCGGGCTGGACTGGCCCTGCAAAGAGCGAGAAGGGAAAGAAGAATGAGCAAACACTCCAAACACTCGTCAGACAAACATTTAAACAGACCCGCCAAAAGTCAGACTTACCGAAGTGGACGGTTTCTCCTGGTCCTGGTCCTGCTCCTGGTCCTGCTCCTCATCTTTCTCCTGCTCCTGGTCCTGCTCCTGGTCCGTGTCCTGGTCCGGGGGGCTGGCGGAGGGGGCCGGTCTCTTCCGCTGCTTCCCGGACGCCTTGCGACGGGAGGAGGAGGTGGTGGTGGTGGTGGTGGTGGTGGGGGTCCCCGGGGGGGCATCCTCACCCTCCATGGCTGCCTGGAACAACGCCCGCTGTTCCAGGGCCTGCTTGGCATCCAAGTTCAATGCATAGAACTAGTCAGCCGTGGAGGTGTCGTGGCACATGAACCGTGCCACTTTGTGCCGGTCCCCGGGGCTGATGGTGTTCTTGGCCTGTTCAGAGAGAAAAGCACAGTTGGAAACAAACACCCTTACGTCACGAGTTCACAAGGCAGAAAAGCATGGGCTGGAAAACTCACGTGGGTTGCGATGGAGGTCCTGACATCTGTGAATGTCGGAGTTCCCGGCAGTTCAAGCCCAGCCCATGCCTCCTGAAAATATTGGTTCAGGTTCTTGCAGGGGCTGGGCTTGGAGGTGAAAAAGAAATAATGGGCGTCGCCACCGCCCACTAGCTCCTCCCTCATGGCCAGGAACTCCGCCATCCACTGATATTCGGTCTCCGTCACTGCCATCTGAGCGGCCCCGAAGGCCTGGTTCGTCTTGTGGGTTGAAATCTGTGGAAACAGCAACAAACGAGCAGCGTAAGAGAAGGACAGAGACAGAGAGAGAGAGAGAGAACATTTAACATTCAACTCACATTAATCACATAGCACCCGTCCATGGTGGCCTGGCGCGCTGCCTCCACCTCCGCAATGGTCATGTTCTGAAACACCCCACTGCGATGCCCGTAGATGCAGGCCAGGTAAGCGGTGAGGTGCCCATAAAATGACCACTGGTCCTTCCTGTCAAGGGTCACCTTCAGACAGGCTGTTGAAAAACAACAACAACAACAAAAAATGTGTTAAACAGAGTTCTACGCAAAGGTTTAAGAGGTAAGAGGAGGCAAAAACTTACCAAGGATTTCAGCAATGGCGGCCCTGGCGGAGGCAACGCACTGGCGGAGAGCGGCCTTGGGGATCAAGTGGCCCTCCTTGGCCTGATTGACCCCCACCTCGTGGACCACCACTCTCCGCCAAACCGAGCGGATCAGGCTCTTGATCTCTCGGTTCAGGCCGACCATGACGGTGCAGGAGAGGCGGCAGGTGGGCGGCGGGGTCTCGGAGATGTACAGCAAGAACTGCGACACGTTCTTAAGGTACATCTGGATGGTTGGCTCCGCGATCTTGGCCTGGTTGAGGGACTGGTGCCAAGATCGCATCCTCGCCGTCTGGTTGAGGAACCCAAAGCTGGCCAGGTCGGTGTGCCCCGCTGCCATGAATCCTATGAAATTCCTGATGCGGAAGATCTTCGACCCCACGTTGTGAACCAGCCTGGGAGTGGGGTCGGCGCCCTGTTGATGTCCGCGGAATTCCTCCAGCAGGACGTCTGCAAAAAGAGAGACACAAGACACAACAACATACAGGCTCAGAACAAAAACACGGGGGTCAGAAAACACTGTCTGCAGAGGGAGAAGCCACAAAGCAATAATAACGATAATACGTTTACTTAAAAAAAAACATTTAAAAGTTGCTTTCTCAAAGCGCTTTACAGACAAACTTAACAACAGAAAAGCTACACACTTTAAATGAACAATTAAGCGAGTTAAACAAATCATCAGGTAAAAGCAATCCTAAAATAAAATAAATAGTACTCACTCAGAGCTGGCACGTGGTCGGGGAAGGGATGCCTCTCCTGCTGCGGAGACGGCTGGGCAGGGGAGAGAGGCTGGGGGACCCCGTCGTCCGGCTCCTCCGAAGGCCCGGCCTCTCCTTCCTCCTCGTCGTCCCCGCCGCCGTCTCCCTTCCCGGGGGACCAGAGAGCGGACAGGAGCCTCCCCGTCACCCTCGCTACCTGGGAAGAGGGGGTTGACCTCGACCTCCTCCTCAGTCGCTTGTAGCGGCGGGTGACCTCCTGTAGCGCCTTGCTCAGGGTTTCCACCTGGAGGTGCATGTCCGCCAACTGGTCCCTGACGCACAGGCAGGCTGGGTTGGCGCAGGGTGGAGCAGGGGCGTCCGCCACCTCCTCCTCCTCCACAGGCCCCGAGACGTCCTCCTGATCCAGAGTCGAGGCCAGCGGCACTTCAGGGTTACTCGCCCTCAGGTTGGCCAGGTCCTCCAGGATTTTCCTCCGCTTGATTGAAGCCAACGTCTTCTTCCGAGTCGAGGGAGTTAGCTCGCTGTGGCACTTCAGGTGGCGGTCCATCCGGGCGGTGGTCTTGCCGCAGGCGGGCACCGGGCAAGTGCCCTTCCGGACGTCCACCCTCCCGGAAGAAAGGGCCAGCAGCAGTTTCCTCTCCTCCTTGTTCTTCACAAGGTGGGTGTTGGTCAGGTGCTGGCTCAGCTGGTGGTAGGGTCTGAAGCAGATCGGGCAGTCTTCAATCGCCATGTCGAGTTCTTGCTGTAAAGACTGACCCGTGCAGGGCTCTTTTATACTCTTTCGGAGGACACTTTCATCTGAGATGGACTGTCCAAAGTGAGCTGGGAGCGGCCGTCCAATCGGCAGGGGGGTTTAGGCCACTTTCAACTGAGAGGACCGTCCGACGTGGACTGGGGGGGGGGCGGTGTCCGGGCCACCTTCAACTGAGAGGACCGTCCGACGTGGACTCGGGGCGGTGTTACGGGTTTTCCGGGCCACCTTCTAATGAGAGGACCGTCCGACGTGGACTGGGAAAGGTCGGCAGGTGGGGTTTAGGCCACTTTCGACTGAGAGGACTGTCCAAAGTCAGCAGGGAGTGTTTAGGCCACTTTCAACTGGGAGGACTGTCCAAAGTCAGCAGGGAGTTTTTAGGCCACTTTCAACTGAGAGGACTGTCCAGAGTGGACTGGCGTTTTCTTTTGAGGCTAATAATACATCATTTATGACTGTAATGTACATCAATGGGTGGATTTTAATTAAAATACAGTGATCAAAACTAGTTCAATCGAGTGTGCTTAGTACAGTATGTAGGTGAAAACAGTCACCATTCACATTTTCCAGTCACCATCCACATTCAATGGAGGGGGAAAAGGACGTTTTTCTCGGGAGCCGCTTTCTCCACGTTCCAGTAGGCATGTGCCGGTATCAAATTTTCATGCTGCGGTTAATTGATTGATCTTTTATTGCGGTATACGGTATTATCACGATATTTTAATGAAATTATATTTCAAGAAAAACAGATGCATTGTGGGTCTCTAAAAAAAACCTCAACTTGTATCAATGTGTAATTGTGATTTTCAAAACATATGGTAAACTAAACCAAATTGTTTAAAGTTTAGTGACAACATGTTACAATGACTGGTAGGTTACTGTTTGTATTATTCAATTAAATTCTTGGATTTGATTTCAGTCTTAATTCAATATTGACTAATTTGGATAAATATTAGGCAGGCCTCAGTCTGTTAATGTTTCTCAAGAAAAAAAAAACCTCACATAATGCTGTAAACATACAGAGAGAAATTAAATATAATATTTAGCAAATTACTCCTTGCTATTTTCTAATGTGCTGGTCATTAAATGGCTTTCCTGAGGTAAATGTAACGTTTTGACACAACTGTTCTCCTGCAGTGTTACTGACCTCTTTCCGTGTTTGAAAACACTGATTGATCGTTATTATGTACAAGTAAATATACCTTTCGGTAAGTTATACTGTATCTTTAAATAAAAACGAAAGTAACATGATGATCGGTTTACTTGAACTGAGGAGCAACGATCTGTGATCAGAACCTAAGAGCTGATTTATCAATAACAACTTTCATATCAAAAGTAACCTGCTCTGTCTAGTCTGTCGGTGTCAGTGTCCTCTTTGCCCTGTGATTTTTCTCTGTGGGAGAGCGTGTGAAAAGTGTCAAATGCGTTAAGCGCCTTTCAGACAGGAAGCGGAATGCGCGACGCTGGTTCAACGTTGCCCTTCAGATACAACGCGATTTGCTATTTTACAAATAAAAAGTTTAACTATTTTGAACTTTAACACCGGCGTGGTCGATGCAGGTCGACGCAGCAACAAAACATCCCTGCGCGTCGCGCGCGTATTCCGCGTCCTGTCTGAAAGTCAAGCTTGAGTCTCAAGCGGAATGTCTGAGAGTTGGCAGCCCTGCGGGGATAAATCGTCGGGAGCGTTCCGCCATGCTTCTTCATCATGTGAGGATTGTTTACATTAGACTAGTGCGCACTGTCGCAAGCACACAGTGCTTATACATGTGGGGATTGTTTACATCAGAGTGCGCGCGTGTTTTGCGCAGCACGCAGTGTTTGAGCGGTTGAAGGAAAATAAGCAGCTAATGCGCGCTTTAAAAGTCTAAATTCGAATCTATTATTTTCCACGGTATTTTGAAGAGCCCGCGATAACAATATCGTGCATATTCATTACTGCGATTTATCGCATTACCGAATACCGGCACATGTCTACGTTCCAGGCACTTTAATATATTTGCAGTGGAGGATAAGGCCTCTCCAACGAGCCCACCCATGATGTCCAACTCGCCGGGGTCACCGAGATACGGGCGATTTAGTCCCGAGATTCCGCGGCCGCCATTTTGGAGTGCTGCCGCCATTTTAGAACGCGCCCGACGGTTTTCGGCTCATATCTCCGCGAAAACGCGGCCAAACGGGACGATTCTTTTACCAATCTCTTCTGCTCAAATAGACGCTTCCAAAGAGCCCACCCACGGCTGGATGCGTTGAGTTTTAGAGCACGGAAATTCACGTTTTATGCTCTAGCTCTGGCCCCTGGGGGCCCACGGGGCCGTGGGTGGTCTCCCCGGAAAGGTCTGAAAAGGTTTTAGCAAGTGGGGCTTCATAAACAAGTTATACGTTGCTGCTCCTTTGAGCTGAGATCTGGACATCCCATGTAGCATTTATGCCATTATAAAAATAGGGGGTTCGTGGACGGTGAAATTTCGGGACAGCGCTTGGTGCCACAGACTCGGGGGGGCCCTCTGAGTGCAGTAAAACTAATTAAAATGTAAATTATGTATTTAATGTAAATTTAATTAAAATGTCCATTAATATAGTGGGTTATTGGACGTATAGGGGGTTCACGGACAGTGGAATCATGGGATGGCGCTTGGTGCTATGGACACCGCGGGGCCTGCCGAGTGCAGTAAAATAGTTTTCATCATGGCAGGACCTTTAATTGCAAAATTTCTGTCAAAAAAACAGTCTGAAAAGTGTAAATGCGGACTGGAGTTTTTATTTTTTTCATCAAACCACCTCTACTGACACAGACAGACATAGATGGAGTGGTTTTAAGTATTACAATAATTATTGTAAGCTCTGTTTGTACACATTTGTCAGGACTGAAGATTGTTTATCAGTCGTCATGACAATTAATGGATGGTGTTGATTGGTTAGAGGGCGTGGGAAGTGTCATTTTCACTAAAATAATCCCATTTGCTGGTAGTCTGATGCACGGTGAGTCTCTCTAACCTGCTCTCTGATATTTTAGCTTATGCACTCGTGAATTATTTTAAATTGTACTTTAAAGTGCTTTGTGCCGTGATATTGTACCGTACACGAAGTCCCGTGTTGTGCTTTGTAACACGTGTATTACTGTTTAGTTTATTTTTTGGGCCTAAATTGATCAGTCCAGGGAAGTTATTTAATGCCAAGTTCCCATGAAGGACTGTAAATTTTATTGATTGAATTGTGATTTAATGATTTAATGAATCATTTAATGATAGGGTTAACCTTTGGGCCTAAATTGATAAGTCCAGGGAAGTTATTTAATGCCAAGTTCCCATGAAGGACTGTAAATTTTATTGATTGAATTGTGATTTAATGATTTAATGAATCATTTAATGATAGGGTTAACCTTTGGGCCTAAATTGATAAGTCCAGGGAAGTTATTTAATGCCAAGTTCCCCCAAAGGACTGTAAATTTTATTGATTGAATTGTGATTTAATGATTTAATGAATCATTTAATGATAGGGTTAACCTTTGGGCCTAAATTGATCAGTCCAGGGAAGTTATTTAATGTCAAGTTCCCCCAAAGGCCTGTCATTTTTATTGATTGAATTGTCTTTAATGATTTTAGCTGATTAAAGTGTGTGGGTTTTTTTTTTTCATCCTTTAAAGATGCCGAAAAGTTTAAGAGAGGGTAAGTTGACATGTTGGCCGTGGCAAAATGTTACAAATGGTTTGTTACACATCAGTTTTGTGTCATAAGCTGTGTGTGTGTGTGTGTGCGCGTGTGTGTGTGTGTGTGTGTGTGTGCGTGTTTATGTCCCTGTAAATCACACAGGTCAAACTTTAATTTGCAATAATGGAGGACACAATCCTAGTTTATCATTTTAACGGATACAACTATGTTGAGTCGGACGAGGAATTTCGCGTGGACGATGGGGGTGAGCAGGAGGAGCAGGACCAGGACCAGCCGGTAAACCTCAATTTAGTCGTGGCGGAGATGAATCGGAGGTGGCCGGCCTCCGAAGGGCCGTCGGCGCCATCAGGCGGCGCTACACGGCCCTGAGGAGGTTCAGTGAGAGGCGGCAACAGGAGCCGCTGCCACCTCCACCTCTGCCAAATGAGGGGGCACAGGATGTGCGGGTCCTCCGTGCCCTCGAGTTTAGGAAGAGGAGACACTCGAGGGCCAGGCTTGAAAAGAGGACGCGTCCCACTCAGTAAGTACATCTTTTGGTGGGTCTGTTTAAGTTTGAGTGGGTGTGGGGTTTGCTGACTCTTTGTCTCTTTCTATTTTTTTGCAGGACAGGCCGACCCAAACAGAGGGCATCGCCCTATGCGGAATAGGAGGAGGAGGAGGAAAAGACAAATCAGTTCATTCAATTAGTTATTAAATAAATCTTTTAAAAGTTTCACTTGTCTTGTCTTTTTTGATGCTAATTGGACCTCGCTCAGGGGTTGATTGCATGAAGGCCGGGTTTAGTACTTTTCAAATATAGAGGGTTATTTGACAAATAGTGTGTTCGTGGGATGACCCACATAGCATTTATTCCATTGCAAAACATAGTGGGTTCGTGGACAGTGGAATTATGTGATGGCACTTGGTGCTATGGATTTAGGGGCCCCAGCTGAGTGCAGATAAATAGTTTTCATGCAAATATTTTGAAAGCTAAGCTTAAAAACACGTGTCAAAAAACCCACTATTTGTCCAATAACCCACTGCTTTTCAAATGTACTACCCGAAAACCTATTGAATAAATTGCAGGCGGGATTCTGTCCATTTGCAGCTTATTGCATGAAGGTCAGGGCTAGTACATTTCACAAATAGTGGGTTTTTGGACAAATAGTGGGTATTTGGACAGTAGTTTTTAAGCTTAGCTTTAGAGATATTTGGATGAAAACCATGTATCTGCACTCAGCTGGGGCCCTTGAGTCTGTAGAACCAAGTGCCATCCCATAATTCCACTGTCCAAGAACCCACTATGTGTCCAATAACCCACTATTTTTTAAATATACTTCCCGAAAACCCATTGAATAGATTGCAGGTGGGATTCTGTCCATTTTCAGCTTATTGCATGAAGGTCAGGGTTAGTACATCTCAAAAATAGTGGGTTATTAGACAAATAGTGGGTATTTGGACAGGGGGGGTTAAGCTTAGCTTTCAAAATATTTGGATATAAACTACTTTCCTGCACTCAGCTGGGGCCCCTGAGTCTGTAGCACCAAGCACCATCCCATAATTCCACTGTCCAAGAACCCACTATGTGTCCAATAACCCACAATTTTTTAATATACTACCCGAAAACCCATTCAAAAGATTGCAGGCGGGATTGTGTCCATTTGCAGCTTATGTGTTGAAGGCCAGTGAGCATAAACCCTAAAGTTTGAACGGCTATAACTCTGGGACCAAGCCGCCCAGATGCACCAAACTTGGGTCAACTTGGGGGCTCTAGGGGCCCTCTCCAACGGGCCCTAGCCCG